AGGAGCACCATGTGGCTCAACTCCTGAATTTTATTTGCGAATTGGTTGAGCTACATGCTCGCTCCATTGAGCATGACAACCTAGTTTTAAGTGTCATTTAATTTTCATTTTGAAATATAATTACAAAGTGTTCACTGTAAGATATCACTCGTCTGCAAATGTGTCAAGATTAATTTGTGCTAGCTTATTCACAAGTGTCAATAGTTAATTACTGTGTCATCTCTGGATGGCTAAATGACATTCTAACTTCTGATTTTTTACAGTATTCCTTTATGTTATTTTCCATTAGGGACGAGTCCATATTCCTCACATGTGGGCAAATATTCAAGCACATGAAATACCAGACGTCACAACTCATTAAAATCAACGGAGCATACTTCGCGGTATATACTCTATAAAACATGTTTAACTGAAATGATAATTCTGGTTTAAAGTCAGATTCCTAAAAAAAGGACATTAATTTAAAATGAATGCCCAAGGAACCTATGGTCTCTCTTGTTTTACATTTTTTTTACACAAGATTTCTAATAGTTATGTAGGTGCCTCTTGTACATTGCAGTTTTCTTTGAACTTCAAATGATCAAATAATTTGCCAATTTATTTTAACAATATGCATTTAATAATTATCTTATGAACTAGTAGGAAACACCGTTTATAGCATGGTAATATTTTTTTTTCAGAAATATTGGAATCTAGAGGAGTAATCTACTTCTACCAGACACAAATTAATGAAAGTCTGTGGGACCATTTACTCAACTCTTAGGAAAGGGAAAAATGTAATTCTAAATAAACTATTAACCATCACTCCTATTAGGTTCAACAAGACATTCTTTCATGGGTGATTATAATTTGTATTTTAAAACGTGTGTGTGTGTGTGTGTCTGTGTATTAAAGCAGCATAATCCATATTAATAACATGTCATTCACATCTGTGGGAGAGTCTGGTAAATTTCCATGATTTGCAATGGGTGGCTAATAAGACTCTAAATAATAACAATACAAAACCTATATGGAGTTGGTCAACATCAGGAGTGTTAAGAAAAAAAAAACCTGAAGGCTCTATTTTAGCAGCTCAAGAACACACTTTGCCAATTAATCGCAAGAAGGCGAAAATCCAACATGCAACAAGCAACAGCAAATGTTGCCTTTGTAGTGAAAAGGATGAAATGGTTGACCATTGGATCAGTGGCTGCAGCAAAATTTCACAAATGGGCCACAAGCTGCATCATGGTTGATTTGCCAGAATTATTCTTTGGAAACTGCGGGAGGTTTGGATCTGAATGTAGTAAACCATCAAGTTGAGAAAGTTTGGAAAATGAGGGCTTAAGATCTTATGGGACATTAAGATCCAAACAAAGAGGCACCTTGTTAATAACATGCCTGTTATTACAGTTATTGAAAAGAAGAAAGTCTGCAGGATCCAATCTGGGCTGGTCACCAGGACCAGGGATTTAGTCTTCCGAGTTTTTGGACTCAAGCGGAGGTCCATCCTCAAGGAAAGGTCTCTCTACCAACACATTCTGGTAGAGAGAGGTTCCCTGCGGGTGGGCTCCAGCACAAGTCCGAAAGCTGAGAAAACTAAATCTCTAGTCCCAAGTGAGTGAGCCAGGTTGGAATCTGTAGCATTTGTCTGCGACGTGTATATTTGACTTCATTTGTGATTTTGCTATTCCAAGTGATCCCAGGACTGAGAAAAACAATTGGAAAAATTACAAAGTATTGGGATTTGCAGATCAAAGGTGAACGTTTATGGAAAATGAAATCCGTTATTATAACAATCATGATTTGAACCTTTGGAGCAATATGCAAAGAACTTCCTTGATATCTGGTAATATTGAATTTATTGAACTTGAATACCCTAAGTTATTTTACAAAATGAATATTGAATTTATTGGGCCTGAACACCTTAATTTCACAAAAAAACACTCTGCTTGGAACATTTCTATATTCTTAGATGCTACTTTACTCATTCTTAGGTCCTTGAATAGGACTTGAATTATTAGGTTTATTAGAATGTGAATCTAATTATAGATTGCCAAAACATTTAATACACTAACACAGGGATATCAAACTGCCGGCCCGTAGGCCGGTTGCATCATGCGGAGGCTGTGCCCACCCCAGCTCCAGCAATGTGAATACATCTTGACACGTCACATGATGTGGCGAATTTGATACCCGGGCACTAACATATACACAAGGCCCATATCTCTCTCTCTCTCTCTCTCTCTCTCTCTCTCTCTCCCTCTCTCCCTCTCCCTCTCCCTCTCCCTCTTTCTCTCAATTCAGGACTAAGTGCAAGATAAGTTCTAGTAAGTTTTTTCCCCTGATGTTTTTAGATGTTGGCATTTTGTCACTTACCTGTTCTTGCTGTTGGCGAGCAAGATCCATTTGCTGCCGCTGTTTTTCAATTTGTGATGCTGCCAGCTTTTTCTGCTCGTCATGGGCCGCCAGAAGCTGCTCCCGTAAGCTGATGAGCTGGGTAATCATGGCCGAGAGCTGTCGTTCTTTTTCTGCTAAGCTTTCAGGTGTACCTAAAGGAGAAACAAAAGACGGGGCATAAACAACAGACAAATAAACAAGCAGAGGGTAAAACTATTTCTATCCTACAGAAGGCAACATAAATATTTTATTAGAACATATATTCTGCTACTGCATTTCTCAGAGGTAGGGATCTTTCACTATCATCTGGTAAGAGAAAACAGATAATTTCTCCCTTCTGACAAGAGGTAAAATTAATTAGGTAATTTGCAATAGCACTTCATTGCTCCCTTCCATTCAAGTATAATGGTTCTTTAATGAATTACCGTGTTCAAAAAAAACATTAATACAATGTCATTCCCCCCCCCAATTAAATACTTTTAAATAAACAAAATGTAAAACAACCCTAAATCCTGTTCACTAACAACAATAACAAAAATCTGGGCTACTTGCTTAAAGATTTCCAGCATTCACAAGAAATGAATATATTGATAGATCATGGCATTCCATTTTTACTACTAAGAAACCCTAACATAAACGTTCATTAAGATTGAAGCCAATGAGCTAAACTGAACCTAGTTTATACACATAGTCATCAATTTTCAACCATTTTAAAAAAATCATTGAAAGTTACAACAACACTGAAAAAAAGTGACTTACAACCGGTCCTCACACTTACAAGCCTCATAGCATAACCCTGGTTAAGTGATTGATTCTGGGGCGCTTGGCAACCGGCATGTACTTACAAGAGCATGCCAGGTCATGTGATTGCCATCTGCCACCTTCCCAGATGATTTCTGACAAGCAAAGTCAATGAAAGTCACCCAATGTGCTTAATGATGTGATTCAATTAACAACTGCGCTGATTCACTTAACAACTGTGGCAAATAAAGGTTGTAATATCAGGGATTGACTCACTTAATAACTGCCTTGCTTAGCAATGGAAATTCTGATCCCACTTGTGGACATCAACTGAGGACTACCTGTACATTCCTTAAACATATACCTCTTCAAAGAGAACTACATATAACACAATTATAATGAGAATAATTAAAATTAGCAGGCAACTGAAGCACTGATAAGCTCTCAGCCTGAATGGCCATGGTCTAGATTTCGTTCGATGTCAGCAGAAAAGAACATTAGGCCGTGGCCATTCAGCCCAGGCCATTTAGGCCATTCAGCTATAACAGGGGTCTTCAGACTTGGCCCTTTTATGACTTGTGGATTTCAACTCCCAGAATTCCTCAGCCAGGCATGCTGGCTGAGGAATTCTGGGAGTTGAAGTCCACAAGTCATAAAAGGGCCAAGTTTGAAGACCCCTGAGCTATAATGATGAAAACCTACACCAGTATGTCAGCTACAAATTATTTGCATTAACCACTGTTAATGTCTAGGATTATAATAGTTTATTTGTTAAACTGTGATTTAATACCAGAATTATCAGATTATGGACTCTTTTGTTGTCGCTTTCAGAAAACCATTTTGATGTAAATTTCCATGGATATATTGAAAATACCCTACAAGAATCTGTGAAGCACTAATCACGAGAGAAGATATATCTGAAGCTAATTATGCTGGCAAAACATACAAAGAAATCTGTACAGTAGTAATTTTCCAATGATTCTGGTAGTTTAGCTTACATTGGTATGTTGTTATGATAGCCCAGTGTCTGTCAGCTTTTCATTTAGTTAGCAAGTTTTGGCCCCAATGAGAAGCAGCAAAAACTAAGTAGAGTCAATCCTAGTTAGTAGTTGGATAGGGGATAATCATTTCAGAACATTTGGGTAGACCGAGATACAATAAATAAATAAATAAATAAATAAAACAACCCTTGAGGAGGAGAACAGCACCCACTATGGTACCAATAAGGAGTGAAGTTTCAGTTAAGTCCATTGTGATTTTTTTAGTGGGTTTTGAGCTATATTCTCATACTGTCAAATTTAACCTTGAAATCAGGATTTTTTAAAATTATGTTTATACCAACTAAAATATTTCTACAACATCAGTAGCTGAACAACTTGGTTTCATAAACTTTTTTATTTTCTGTAATCTAGAACAAAATAAGTGCATGGAAAGGAAAGGATTAGCAATTGCAACTGGAAAAAATCAAAGCCAGCTAATATATCTCCTGTAGAAAGTCTCATCCTTTGAACCAGAGAAGCAGAATTGTACTTTCACACATATTTCACCTTTCCACATTGTATAGTTAGAAAATATGCTATATGCAATCAATGTTTTTAAAGAAATGCATTTGGATCAACCTTTAAGAAAAAAAGAGTATTCATGATCAATTTTAAATCTAATTTTAGACATCAGGGATAAAATATCCAATCCACAAAATTTCCTCCAAAAGAAAATGTAAAGATTGAATAGTAACTAACAGGATAATGTTAACAGCTAACATTTTAGTCTGCTCCAGTATTTCATTATCTTTCATCTATATATAAATAAAAATGTAAATGTTCGTTTGTTCAAAATCTTAAATCTCCAAAAGTTCTTCACCGATTGCTTTGAAATTTTGACACAACATTGCATTCGAATACGCGCGTGTTTTTATATACCTATATTATATAGATGTCACACCTGTGACAGGCAAAAACATGCTTTTCTTGGAAAACAGCGCCATCTATTGGACGTAAAAGCAACACACACTTTTACCAGACTGAGCCACAGCAACGCGTGGCTGGGTACAGCTATTCTCTAATAAATGTGTTTGTTCTATTAATAGGATACTAAAACTGAGTCACTCACTATTTTTTGAATGCCTCCTGAGTGTCTACTGAATGTCTGAATTAGTAGAATTCAATTCATTCCAAGGATGCAATGTATTATAGCTTATTGTGGTCTTTAATATGGGTGCAACGTATTAACATAGCTCAGCCAGTGAGCTCATTAAATAGTTAGAGCAAACAATTGTTCAACTTACTTTATAACAGTATTAAGCACATAGGATGGTTTTTATCTTTGCATCCTATTAAATAATGAAAAACAGAAACACCATAAACAAGCAGAAGACACCCAGATCTTCAAATCATTTATACTAGCTAAAAATACACTATGCCTCAAGTAGAAGTTAGGCTTTGCATGTTCAAATCCCAGGTTAAGTCTTTTGCATCACTAATCATTTTATAATGGGTATAATATTAATTGCTTTAATACCATCCTAGATGAAACCATTCAGATTTTCATGGAATGCAAATTGGTGTTAGCACTATGGATTAAGGGATGGGAGAGGTATGTTTAAACTCACATGGACACACAAAGAAATAATTTAAATATAATTTCAATTTGCACTAGTTATGCAGCACGTTATAACGCCAGGATATTGTACAGACCACCTGACAACATTTCAGTCTGTACATTGAGATAATGTTGATTGGAAGTAGTCAATTTTAGCTGCAGCACAATGTAAACTTTGTTCCATTGGGACAAATTGTACTTTCATCTATAGCAAGATAGTTGAACATCGCACACCAAAGCTACAAATCAGGTTTCTGTCTACCGGTATGTTTGAAAGTAATCTTAAGAGTCTCCTTTCTTGCTTTGCCTTAAAGCCTCAATCTCAAGAGTTACTGTGGTCAACTCAGAAATACCATAGGTATCCCAGTAGGTATATGAAATATTAGAAAACAATGTATAACATTCATGGATTAAAGTTGACTTTGTCTGCTGCACAATTGTACTTGTACTGTATTCATCAAGGGCACTTGCACAGAGTTGCTACTGCAAAGCCAGCTGTAATCTAACCCGCCTTTCCTTGTTCATATATGAAGCCAAGAGGCTTTAGGAAAACTGATACAGGTTTCTCAGGCTTCCATATATTTTCCTATTGAAGTGAGAAAACAGGGAAGGGAGGAGGGATGGCAATAATTAATTAACTCCCTAGCCACCATTCCCACTAATCTATATGCAGTGGTACAATATGCAAATAAAAAACAAAGAAATTAGCTGCTATGATTGGTTTTTTTTTTATTGTTTAACCATACACATCATCATCTCTTTGCTACTCACGTACTATGATACTCTTAATAAATTATCAATAAATAAGCTTTTCTGCTAAGTTGAAAGGAACATCTCTGTTTATCTATTTTTAAATAATGAAGAATCTGCAGGCCAAACGTGCTGTGAAGTGAAAAAGATCCTTACCATGGCTCTCATCAAATAAAGATACCGGCTTCCATAATATATTACCCATGACACATGCACCTTTTTCTGACTTTAAACTGGATCTGTCTGCTGACTCTGAAGATATGGGGAGAACCAGGCCACCCTGCCCCCCACCTCCAGATTTCCAAGGGGCTCTTCCTTATCCCCAGATCACATCTGTCTTGAGTTTCTCTCAGATTTGTCAGGTGGATCAGTGCTCCCCAGGGCCTGCTCCAGCTGAAGTATTTTAATTTGACTAAACACCTGATTTATTTTATCTCTCCGATGAGAAAGACAGTTTGTCTTAATAGAGCCTGTCAGCCCACAGTCCCATTCAGAGCAATTTACAGGCAGCCAGGGACGCTGAGAAAGAAGAGTGCTGTAATTCTGTATTTTATTCTCCTCCCGAAAGCACCTAAAAGCAGCTATTCACAGCTCCTGCATGTGGCATTTTAGGACTGAATTAGCTTTTTATTCAAGTAACTACGTTTGTTGTGAATAGCTTATCTGTAAAATTGCCACATTCACTACTGATTTTATTAACCTTTGGCTCTATTGCAAAATGGTCTTCAGTTAAGAAGGACCTTTAAATCTGACATATTTTTTTTCAAGAGACCTTTTATTCTAGCAACTTCAAATTTACTGAATTTGATCCATTGACTCCTTTACCAGTATATTCAAAACTTTTATGTCTCAGTGGGAAAATCAATATCATGTGCAGAAACCTTTTATTTTATTCTAAAGATGACACTTGCCTCTAAGAAACCAACAGTAGTACATTAACTGCTGTCATCATATAATGATTCTTTAAAAAAAAAAATAAGATCCTTACACTAGCTCTTTGGTTTATTGTCGCTGTATATTTCCATTGCTTTGGAAACTGTATATAAATCAACAAACTGAAAGT